AGTGGGTTGCTTTAAAAAAAGGTTTGCATTGCTAGAGTATTACTGCTTGCTAAGTGGAGCTCACTGTTAAGCATAGGGTTGTTCCTTTAGGTCATTATTACCTTGTAGCATGTAGGTTGGATACTTCTGGATATGGAAAGAATTAGGGATTTGTCTGAATCTCTTTTCCAGGTCATTCCAGGAGACCATTTTAGCCACGTCAATGGCCAATGGTTGATAGAACTAGAAACCCAGAAAAGGCAGGAACTGAAGTGACTGGAATTAGTTGAAAATGTTTGTTTTTGAATAGACTATTATTTTCCCTATTGTTTCCTCCTAGCTTTCTTTGAGAATGCTGTGGAGGCTTTGGACTGGAATAGTCACAGTAAACCCAGGGAATTCAAAGAGAAGAAAGTTTTTTTCTATTTCTCTTTGTGTTTGCTTTATTTTAAATTTACCCCTTGGTGATAGATGTTCTCTCTCTCTCTCTTTTTTTTTAAATTGAGACATAGTTGATTGTACATATCTGTGAGATGTTCTGCTTATGAGGATTTTCTATTTTAATAAATTTTTAAGACTAGTATGTTATTTCCCTGGCAAAGAAAGACTACTCTTAGCTTTGAAACCAGAAATGAGAAGATATTTCCCTTGGACGGGAGTTAACTGTTTGTTTCTTGAGGTGAATTCAGATCTCATTTCCTATGGGAACCATTTAGTCAAAGTACTGTCAAGTTCTTCGTCTGTGGTTGGTGCAAATAGCTCTTTTGGGCAGCCAACTTATAGTGGCGTTACATTGGCAGGAGTTGAGATTTTGAAGGCTTTCATAGTCGTTTCTGATCAAATTCTATTCTGCTACAAAGGTTCCTGGTTTTTATAGAATCTTTGGAATATTTTCCCTTTCCTTTCATTATTCCCAGGGCACTGACGAAGGCGTTAAGTTGCTCCATTATTCAGAGAGAGGTTTTGGTCACTCCTGTAAGGAGTTCAGAACCAGGCTTTCCCAGTGAGTTGCCGTGCTGGTTTGATTTTTTATGCTTAGCTCCTCCCATCTGTGCTAGGGCCTACCTGTGAATTTTTCTGCATCCCAATTTCATTAATCACCTTGCTTAGAAGCAGTTCTTCAATGGATTGATTGGTGAGGTTGATTACCCTATCTTAAACCTTTCTTGTCATCTGTTAAGTTCATCTCCTGGTGGCCATGTTATTTTGGCTCTCATTTTTGGGGGGGAGGTCAAGAAATGGGATTTCCTTGTAACAGCCTTTTGGGGGTAGTTGTTATTCTCGAGTTCTGGTTTTATCTTTGCTTCCTACTTGAATGTCTTAGGGTAAGTCAGTTCCCTGGCTTTATTTTTTTGGCAGCTGGCTGATATAGGGATCGACCCCTTGACCTTGGTGTTTTCAGCATTGTGCTCTAACCAAGTGAGCTAACTGACCAGCCCCAGTTCCCTGGTTTTAGTCTCATCTCTATTTTTTTTTTAATACTTTAAAAATTAAAAAAAATTTTTTTTGGTGGATGGCCGGTATAGGGTTGAACCCTGGACCTTGGAATTATCAGGACCACACTTTAACCAACTGGACACTTTAACCGGCCAGCCCTACTCTCATCTTTAAAATGAGAATTACTGGCAAACCATATTAGGGGGACAGCTGCATAGTTTTTGAGTGTTAAGTGTTGTGTGACCTGATAAACAGCTTCTCACATGGTATTTTGCTCTGATCAGATTCCAGAGATATGACTATACCAGGTGTCAGTAAACTATGGCCTGTGAGTCAAATCTGGTCCACAGCTTTTGTGTGTGTGTGTGTGTGTGTGTGTGTGTGACCAGTAAGGGATCGCAACCCTCGGCTTGGTGTCGCCCGCACCACGCTCAGCCAGTGAGCACACCGGCCATCCCTATATAGGATCCGAACCCGCAGCGGGAGCACAGTGGCGCTCCCAGCGCCGCACTCTCCCGAGTGCGCCACGGGCTCGGCCCACACAGCTTCTTTTTATATGGCCCACAAACTAATTGGCTAGCCCATTTTTACATTTTTAAAAGGTTATAAAAATCAAGAGAATGATGGGCCTGCCCGTGGCTCATTCGGGAGAGTGTGGTGCTGATAACACCAAGGCCATGGGTTTGGATCCCATATAGGGATGGCCGGTTAGTTCACTGGGTGAGCGTGGTGATGACAACACCAAGTCAAGGGTTAAGATCCCCTTACCAGTCATCTTTAAAAAAAAAAAAAGGAATTTGAAGACAAGCCATAGACTGGGAAAAAATATTTGCAGAAGATATATCTGATAAAGGATCATTATCCAAAATATATGAAGAGCTCTTTTTTTTTTTTGTGACCGGTAAGGGGATCGCAACCCTTGGTGTGGTGTTGCCCGCACCGCGCTCAGCCAGTGAGCGCACCGGCCATCCCTATATAGGATCCGAACCCGTGGCGGGAGCGCCACCGCACTCCCAGCGCCGCACTCTCGAGTGAGCCACGGGGTCGGCCCTATGAAGAGCTCTTAAAATTCAACAATAAGGGCCGGCCCGGTGGCACACTGGAGAGTGCGCCACTTGGGAGCGCGGCGGCGCTCCTGCCGAGGGGAGGATTCGGATCCCACATACAGACCGGTTCCCACTCACTGGCTGAGCGAGGGGCGGGCGCAGCGCCGAGGGTTGCAATCCCGTTGCCGGTCAGTAAAAAAAGACAAAAAGGAAAAAAAAAAAATTCAACAATAAGAACACAAAAACAACCCAATTAAAAAAAAAAAAAAAAAGGCAAAAGGCCAAAAAAAACCCCCCCCTAAAAAAGATTAAAAAAAAAAAAAAAAGCAAATGAAAGGGGTTCAAAAGG